AGGAAATTCTCCCAGTGTACAGCAACTTGCCTTTCAGAAGGTTTTTAATTTCCAAGTAAATTGCTAATAATTAATTTCCGATTTTAATTTAAAAAGGAAGTGAAAAAAAATCTAGTATCTCTTTATAGGCTCCAAACCATGGCTTGGGCTCGATGTTTCCTGCAACTCCCAAAGTGCTCAACCCACTGAAGACTGCTAAATTGTGATTTCTTCATAGGAAGCCTCTGTAAGGAATACTTGTGGGTGATCTGGTCATCTCCTTTGCCCAGAGATGGTCCCGAAGAGCTGGACTTTTCACTGGCTCCTCTTAACTGCCACTGTTGCCGGCTCTGGGAAAATGGAGTCATCTTCAATCTACCATTACTCCCCCAGAAGCCCAATTGATAGTAATGTCTTGTTCTCAATAAAAATGCATAGAATCATGCTTTTAATATTGCCTGTCTTCCTATTACATGTTCCCTATGTATCTAAATAAAATAATATTGCTGGTTTTAAGAATCACCTGAACCCCTAAAGGCAAAATTACAAGGAATTTAACTTATGTTCTTGTTCATTTCTTTTAGAGGTAGTTATTAATGCACATTAATGAAATATTGCTGCTGTGTAACAGGATTTGAAAATCTTTAGGTTCTCCAGTTCTTAGATTCTTATCACGTCCAGCCAGCCAGAGATGATACAGCTTGGAGTCCATCAACAGATAGTATGATATGGATTCCAAACACTGTACAAAGCACACACATGAAAAAAAAAAGTATTTACAATACCTATAATATTATAACCAATTAAGCTGTATTCTCCCATGAAAATTTGAGTGAAGGGGAAGAAAGATTGTACACAGTCCTAAGCACTTTTGTTATTGCAGGTAGACACAGCTGTAGCAGAAGAGACAAGAAATGCGGTACAAGCAGAAGAAATGAAAGCTAAAGTGAAGGCTCAAACTGCTCAGGCTATTGCTGATGATGCACAGAAGGACCTAGCAGAAGCCCTCCCTGCTCTGGATGCTGCCCTGGCAAGCTTGAGGAATCTCAACAAAAATGATGTTACTGAGGTAATAAATAGAAAGGAAAGAGGATAGATTTTAGCACAAATTTGGTACAAGCACTTTTTGGGGTATGTCAGTCTCTACATGACACAGTGGAGTTTCTCAGTGGTATATGTACCACTAGTTTGATGGCATTGTGGTACTCAAACAGTCTGAGATAGCTTTAAAGAAGGTCCTTAAAATTCTTCCACTAGTTGCACTCACTGAAGCATATGATAAGTTAGGCCACATGCTCTCCAGTCCCCTTGTGACCTTTCATTGTCCTGCCACAGCCATTTCAAGCTTGGAAGGAGTTACCTGATCAATGCTGAGTTTCCTTCTCCTCTGGATGTGGTGCTGATCCACCAGCTGTTTCCTTCCCAGGCTTTGAATGTAAGTGGCCCAGGAACTGGAGATGGCAGCCAGGACATGTCAGTCATTCCCCACATGAGCAAAGCTATATTTTGTACCACTTTTGAGCCACTGTGGTATGGTGGTTCAGTTCTTGGAGTAGGAGCAAGGAGACCCAGCTTCTGCCATGGAAGTTCACAGGGTGATTTTGGGCCAGTCATCCTCTCTCTCAGCCCAACCTACTTCACAGGATTGTTGTTGGGGAAAAATAGTTTTTGTGCTGGGCTTAGAAATAAACATGCTAAATACTATTTTAATCCAAGATTAAGTATTTATTTGCCACTTGAACCACATTATGTATCCCATGCCATAACAACAATCACAAATTAGATCAAGGATGCTGTTCAATAGAAATCTCTATGGGACCAGCAGCAATCGGATCTCTAGCCCAATTTTTAGTTCTTTATCATATTTTCTAGTCACACTTTTCTTTTGGGGTGGCTTGTATGAGATCACAGTCCCATTTAGTATATCATATGTGGACTCACAGTTGATAATTACACTCAAGACTGGCTCACCTGTCAGTTTTCTGTATTCATGTTGCTATTTGTAACATCACTTGTAAAATTCAACAAATCAGTTGTCAGCCTCTGATCTGTTCTCATGAACCAGCACTCTGTAAGGGCACAGGCAGTAAGCAGGCTGTCACCAGCTGATGGTTGGCGCGTGATGGGAGGCAAAACTGAAGCACCAAATCAGCTGAATATGGGGAGGCTAAGATGGACTACCTGATGGACCTTCATGGACCATACTTTGAAAATCATCACTCCCTATCAGGTTTCCTATTCTCCTAACATTTATCATGCTCACTAGGAACTGTAGGTGCTGTAGTGTAATCCTTGTAGAGGGCACAAGCTTGAGAAAGGCTGATTTAAAGTGAGTATAGAATACTATGTTCAGAGGATATTTGCAGAATAAGCCCGTAATTGTTTTGCCATCAAGTCTCTTTTAAGATTACTGGATAGCTTGTTTGCACTGAAAATAAAATGTCTGAAGAAATACTTACATGACCAAATCCCAAGAGGATTCTGCAGTCTCAGCTTAAACATGTCTCAGCATGGTTACAGGTTTGTCAGCATACTGCTTTGTTTAAACAGTGAAAATTAACATGAGTAGGCAAAATTTTTATTGACAAATTTCAATAGGTCCTTTCCAACACAACAAGTAATATACATAGACATTATGTGTTTTAGAGGACTGAACTTTAAAAAAAAAATGAAGGATGGAAAAGAATTGAATTTGGCCTCCTTGAGAGCTAAGAAAACATACCAGGCTTTAAACTCACTGGCAACTTTTTGAAGTAAAGAGAATTGAAATGGAAAAAATATTGGAGGAAATATACAGTACAAGTAGAACACTAATTTTAGTAGTATTTATAGTTTTATACCAACCCATCTCAGTTTCTGTGCAACATCCACCACATGGCTCAGATTCAGAAGAAAAAAAGAGACTAAACTATAGTGAGAATATAATATAGTAAGTATAGTGTATAGTATAGTAAGTATATTGTATATGTATTTGACTATACTATACTGTAGTATAGTAAAGTAAGAATCCAAAAAAGAGAAAATTACATGGAGTCCTTATATTACACAATATTTCCCAGGTGATTTATGATAATAGATACCTTCCACCAAATTAACTCCCAGAAAAGGGCCTATGTCATAATAGACATTAATGTATTCTTCAGAGAAGAGGCAGCAGGAAGATGAAAGTTTACCCTGCTAACAATGCTAGAATGCTTTTCTTAGAAGCTTTCCATTCAGTCGAGACAGAATTTACATGGGAGCACGTTGGAACAAGATTATTTTCTACTTCTAACTCTTCTCCACTGATGACTCCATTACACACATGAAGATACCAGTGTCTGCTTTTCAGCTTTTTGTACCAGCTTCTTCAGGTGGTCTGGGTTGTTGAAGAAGTGTATATAGAGGTTTCGCTCAGTCTTCTGAAAGTGGCTCTGCATAGCTTTGCGTTTGGCCTTTAAGTCAGTCAGGGTGTCCATTAGCATTTGATAGAGTTTAGCCTGTGTGATGCTAAGCTGCTCCAGAGGTTCTGACAATTCCTGCAAAGAACAGTGGTCAAAACAAGTGTGCCAAAAGCAGGATCTGATTTGTTAAATTCACAAGTCAGCTTGCTACTCCAAATTTCATTTAGAATCTCAAAGGGAAAAAAGTTAATAATCATAGGATAGACTGATTGTTTTCTTGAGTCTTTTTAGAATGTCTCTACACATATAGCAATAATGTAGCAGAAGAACAGAACTTAACATATACAGTAATGGACAAAGACCATTGCATACCTGAGCATGAAGCATTAACTGGTTGGAGTCACCATATATCAAACAGTACAGTGCCTTGTTCTCAGACTCTAGTTTAAGAAACTGAGGAAATGGTGTGGCTAGCTGCACTTGAAGCATTCTGAGTTCCTGGCACAATCGTGAACTCCTGCTTGCCAAAGTCTCATATGAACGAAAAAGTTGTTTCTCTTGACTGTGCTTGTCCAACATCTCCCACAACCTGAGGAGAAAGAAAAATCCCTCAGAAATTAAAGGATTTAGGATCTTAATTCAGAGAGTATTTAATAATAAAGAGTAGGGAGATAATCATATACAGTATTATCATAACCATATATCCTAAATAGAGTGGCTACCCAACCTCAAGTCCATTTATCCTGGTCTTATCATTGTGGGAGAATTCAGGTTCTCCGAACAGTCTTCTAATTAAAATCTAAGGCAGTTCCAGTATTTTTCTGAAATACAAATAGTTGGTGCTATTGATGTGGCTATCCTAAATACTCTATTCTATAGAAACCCTTTCTTTTCTCCCATTCTCCCATAACACTCTTTTCCCTCATTAAATTGTGTTCCATAAAAGGGATAGAACTCTGTTTCAGTTTTAGCCAAATATTATTTAATTTTCCAAAACAAGCCTGTTTTCACCCTAAACCAAGCAAACCTTCCTTCATTTCTAGTAACTATTAGGCACTTGTAATTCAGTAAGGTTCCACTGCCATTCTCCCACCATTCCTTACCGTAAGGTAGTGAGATCACTAGGATCTATCAGAGTTCGTGGGCATTGCTTAATGGAGAATCTTGAATCCTCAAAGCAGGATTGCCATTCCTCTAATTTAGACTGAGATTTTTTCAGGACATTCATCAGTCCCTCCAACTTGGTTCCAATCCATTGCAGATTCTTTTTCTTCAACATCAGCAAGAGTCTCAGCAGCTCAAAGTGGCTGAGCTGGCCCAGTATCTGGCCAAGAGCTTCTTCTTGTATACATTCAAGATATTCAAGTCTCATGGCTTCCAGGTCAAGTTCTCCATTTATTATAGGCAAACGAAGCAGGCGGGCAATGCCTTGAAGCAAGGGCACAAGCAATTGGGTCTTTCCATTTACTTCACTTTGGAGAGTGCATAACTGTTCCTGGCAATTAGCCACACGAAAACTTAATTCACACTTCTCTTCCTTCACCTGGAGAACAGCAAAGTATTGAATTCCTTACAGGAAAAGATACTTCATGTTTTTATATCAGTTTTGCTGGCAAGTACAAAAATATATTCTGATACCCCCAAAAAAGATTACACAAACCAGTAAAATTTATGGTTTGCAAAGAAAGCTTGGGAATCTAATAAAAAAGCCTAATGGGAATTACAGCAGGATGCTCCCCATACATCTAAAAATTCTGACCTTAAAACAATTTATTTGTAAGTGGGAAATTGTCAAGGACATTCAACATAGTCTCAATTGATTTAAGAAAAAGAAACATTTAAAAATGTGGAAGGAAATTGAAACAGAACACCAGGAGAGTTAGATCTTTTTCTAACAGTTGGGGGTTACCACAAAGAATAATGGAAATTCAGTTAGCATGCATATCATATGTCAAGAGAAGTACAGCAAAGTGTAACAGATCATCTGAGAAACTAACAAGAAGTGTTAAGAAAGTTAGTGGAGAAAGGAAGGCTTAATGGCCTAATGAGCACATAACAATTTCACTAAAAATACAAGTAGACAATAAAGGGTTCAAAATTATTTTGAGGAGTATATAGTGAATAACCTTAAGACCAACAATATTTTTTAAAAAATACATCAAACCAGAAAGGTTGCTAGGTAGGAATTGGTTAAAGGAGCACTACAGGATGATAAAGGGATTGCAGAGAAGGTTTTGGCTTACAAAAATGGACAAGTGACAGAAGTATATAAAATTATCCATGATTTTTAAAAAGTAGATTGAAAGCAAGTCTTTTCTTTTTCAATATACGTAATGTAACATTCAGGGCAGATAAATTAAAATATTTTTTAATTGATAAACTGGCATTTGCTGTCAAAATATGTAGTAATATCTACTAGTTTGTGCAGCTTTAAAAATAATTATATAAATTCATCCACAATAAGTTAGTTGGTGGCCACTAACAATAATGGTTATATGTTGCTATCAATATCAAATATACCTTGATTCTTAATAGCAGCTCCTAGAGGCAGAACTGTGCTACTGCATTTACGTCTTTCTCTGGGCTTCTCATAGGCATCTAGATGGCCACTACAGAAACTAAAAGCTAGAATAGATTGACTTTTGGTCTGTTCCTTATGTTAAATAGAGTAACTGATGAAAATAGGATCAATACAAAAAGAAAAAAAGGAAAGGAAAGGGCTATTTTCTGAAACCTGAAGGCTAATAACCTACCTTGTTCTCCTTAGTGACTTTCAGAACCTTTCCTGCCCATTGCAAGGTGGATGAAATTCCCTTAATTCTTGCAGTAGTCATGACTATCACTGTTTTGCTCCACATGTATGTTAACTCCATATGTCCCAGTTCTTCCCTATATCTTCCCATGTTTTTATCTTTAAGGTGTTCTATTTGGCCAGATTCTGTCTGTGTCTTCAGCCCTTTTTGACAGAAATCCTGAATAGGCAGGCCTTCAGTCTTGAAATTATCTGCTTTCGGTTGGTCTATTTTTTCTAGCAGCTCTTTCTGTTTAAAATCTGACTTATTCTTGCTGGGCAGTTGCTCTTGATAGAGAATTTGGTTCTTTAAAACTTCCAAGGTTATTTTGTGATCATCAGAATTATCAACATAAACTAAACTCTTGTCTTCCAGCTGTAGCTGCTGAACTAGTTTAGCTATAGATTCTGAACTCAGCTGTTCTGTAATGTCTCTTTGCTCCTTTTTTGCAAAAGTTGTTTGATCAGTCTCCATATCATTGATAATACTTGCCACAACTTTTGGAAAAAATCTCAAAAAAGCTTTTGTGAAATTTTCTTCTGTTTCCAGGTAGTGCCCTAGATCTCTTGATAAAGTTAGTTGCTCATACCCAGGTTCCTTATGCCAGTGTGCTAGCTTCTCTGTTATCTGACCAGCCTCACTGAGGATATCATTGCTTTGAAAATTCTCTAGCTCAAGCTTTAGGTGCACCTTCTTCAGTTCTCTGTTTGATCTCTCTTTTTTGTCTGTCAAATGGCAGAGCTTCTGCTTCAAACTGGCTACACGAATCTGAAGCTTGTTGCATCGCATTATTCGACATGCACATTGATTCTTCAGCATCTGCATCTCTTGTTCAAGTAACTCGAGGGGCAGGGCTTCATTCTCTTGTAGCTCACTGTTCAGCTGAGAAGATTGGCTACAGGTCCTCAACACTTCTTCCAATGCTTCACCTTCTAAGATGGGCTTCCCAGAAATTATCAGTTTCTCATAGGTCTCTAGTTCTGTAGGATTCAGTACATTCTCTTCTCCCACTGTGTTGCAGAACCACTCCAGAAATTGTTCTGTCTGAGGACAGTCAAAGAGCCAGTCAAAGTCCTTCTCATGAAGAGTAGTTGCCTTGGGATAGACAGTTTTCAAGACTTCTACAAACTCTGTTCCTCTGTCAACTGCCTCCAGCAGAAAAGCTCTGGAACGTCTCCGGGTAAACATGTTTGTATTTTTCCTCTAACCCTGAGAGAAATATACAAAGTTTGTTTCATACGTGCTGCATCTACGATATAGCTGGGCAATTATAGCACTTATCTCTAATAGAAATCTGTCTAGAAAATACCAAAATACCAGGATTTTTGTCAAGTTGTATATGTAAAAAGCAATAAATTAGACTTTGAAAATATGGACAATTTTCTTATTAGATTTTAGAAACCAGAGATGGGCTAAGTAAGGTTTCCAGTGGCCAGGGTCAGACTTTTGTCTGTTAAGGGTGTTACACAGATCTTTGTTGTATCTGTTAATGCTATTCTTTGGTCTACATCATACCTACCTCCAACTCTTTTTTCCTTTTTTTTCTATTGACCTTAGCCTAAAGTTGGGGGGAGGAATGTTTAGAAAATACAGCTCTTAGAAGCAGAATGGAAAATGTGGCTTCTTTGCATGTTTACTCCAGTAACAATTCAAATATTTTGATACAAAACAGTACTCTATAATATTTTCCAATTACAGTCTTCTTCCTACACCAGTTAGCCATGGTAGTAGCAAAAACACAGGTAGGTATTTTATAATGCTTGTCCTTTAGAGTACACATGGCTACCCCATTTTAAAACTTACCTCTGCAACCCCAAAATTTAGGTTATTACTTTCTTTTTAAAACATAGATTGCAGTTCTTGAGTGCGTGGTATGAGATGGCAGAACACCATCGCTACTGGTTAATCAGAAGAATAAAAGAGGAACACATATTTCTGGTCTGCAGGCTGTGCTTCTGCTAATAAGATAAAAAAAATAAATTAAATAATAATAAGTAAATAAAGCCAAACTGATTAAAAAAAGCTTTTATCTGACATGTGGTGCTGTTGTATCTGTATTGCTCTTTTTTTTTTTTTTGCTGTGCCAAATTGTCCTTGCTTAAGTTAGATATAAAGGTCATCAGAATAAATGGCAACCATGTTTCAGTCCAGTATTTTACTTCTCTCACGGCTTAAGTCTACTTAATCTTTTTCTTACATTCTACTTCACTTAAGGTAAACAGGTACCAAAAATACAGGGCACCTTCTCTTTTAATAAATTGTGCACAGGAGAGAATTTCTACAGATGAAACCTATCATGCTGAAAATGTCCTTTTCTACATGTCTCTTAAAGATGCAGGAGTTCTATACTCTTTTGTATTCAGTCACACCGATTCCAGCTACAACAACCCTAATACTCTACCTTGATAAACTGTTTCTGTCTCTATTGGAACACACTTCAGTTTTAGTCTGTTTAGTATTTAATGCTGCAGTGCTTTACTTACTTGGAAGAATGTACCATTGCATTCCAAATACTCTCAGAATTATATTCGCTGTGAGTGTGTGAATGTATACACATATACACACCACTTAGTAACTACTGGCAAATGCTGGGCACAACCTTCTGTTATCATATTAGATATAGATAGTCCCTGGGCTAAGAACGCCCAGTTTAAGGACAACCCATAGTTAAGAACGAAGCCTGTTGTAGCAAAATTTGAGTTAAATATACAATGATTCGAGTTAAATACACAAAGGTTGGAGTTAATTACACAATACTACTTATACAGTATTATACAATACTGT